TGCACCCACTCAATGCTGATTCTTTTCTTCCAGAACTTCCTAAATTAAAAATTATTAAATTAAATTAAACATATCTAAGTATTTTTCTGTTAATTGTGAACAGTTACATAAGTGTTTTGGGATATATAGAAGATGCCTTATGTTATTAGGAAGGTACAAATTTTTACAAAATTTGAACATGTAATCTTTGTAAATACAGAGACTTGATTATACATTATTTATAGCAACTGGTCAGAATACAAAGTGCAAATGTTAGTACAGAAGACATCAAATATGTTTAGAAAAAATTATAAAAAATTGTTTAATTTAAAATGCTAAACACAAAGTTTACTAAAAATATTAACCACTATATAATAATATTTTTAACATCTCTTGTGACTAACAATCAAATCAATTAATTCTTTCATACTTATTTAAAAATATTTTCATTAAGAACAAAAACAGAAAATTGCATATAGCTTTACTCTAACAGTTTATTTCTTAAATCTACTAGGGTAACAAGTTCTTATAAAATCAGCCAATATATGTAAATAATCAAATGATACAGCTGAATTCTTATTGGGCTACAATATGACTAATTAATTAAAATAATAAGTAATTTGGAGTAGAGATAGGCGGTTAAAAGCTTAACTCCTATTCATAAAGCAGACAAAAGTGTCTCAATTTTAATTATTACAAATGGGTTTGACAAGTAATGAAACAATGATTCAACTCAACCTATCCATAAAAACAAAGCTTCAAATCAGATAGCTTAGTTCCTTGTGCTAGCAAGAGAAATATATTATCCTTTTAGCTATCCAGTCAACTTTTTGCAATACCTTGCACTCTTGCTAATCTGAATTATTATAGGGAGTTGTTAGGATTAGTAAAAAGTTTAGATTAACAGTGTTATACACAATAGAACTTAACAATTCAGACTAATTGAGGGAAAGTCCAGTCCCTGTTTTACAATTATGAGTGCTGCAGGCTGCTAATATTTTGTGCACCTTTGCAAAAATCATATTTCCACACGAATGTAACTTTTTTTGCACAATTCATCTACAATATCTTACACAGACACATCATTTGTTACTATTTAGGAAAATTAGGAAATGGTGCGTAAACTAAAATGGAAACAATCTAATTATTCGGTCAATAAATCAATCAAACCTTTGTGGTCATACGCCATAATTTTATAACGTATTTTTATATATATATATATATACATATACATATTTCATTTCCCATTCTTTCTCTGTCCTTTGTCCTCTCCCTTGGAAACTTCTCTCTGTGGGTGGCAACTACGTGATTGAAAGACAAAAGGAGCGGGTTAGCCCAGAAGCACTAAATGGAAGATAAAGGGGTCACTTTTGGCAAAGACGTTGAGCTGAGAGGACGTATTTTGTGGATATCATCAAGTCGATCTCGCATCGCCAAGAAGAGAGCAAGAATGGGTAGGTCTAAGAGCAGATACGAGAGAAGAACCCTAGAAGTACGCTAACGTGAGAACACCTCCGGAATCTTATTGGGAAACCCGAAGAGAGAAAGGAAAAGTTCGAACTCTATGATCATCGGACTTCGTGTCATTCAGCAGAGAGATCTAAGATACAACTTCGATCATAAAGTTACTAGCTAAGTTGGGTACCCATTCACATTCGGTTCTATCCTATCAAATACTCCTTCTATCCTTCCCTATAGAATAAGTAGTTCCTAGATAATTAGTTGTAATTTTTTCATGCTTAATTTTGTAATGCCGCATATTTTTGTAAAGCTGTTCCTTTGTCGCGAGAATTTAGGTTAATGTTTTTGTTCAAGTTAACATTCTAGACATTTTGTTCAAGGAGTTGTCGGAATCCAAACAAAATCCTGTAAATTTAGCAAATACCGGTAAAAAATTAAAGAATTTCCTTTGCCTTATCATATCTCTTTGTTAGACTCATTGAAAAATGAGTCTAACAAAGCCACATGCATATATAACACCTTTTTACAATAACAATCTTAATAAATACTGTTTTTGATATGCATATTGTCTTGCAGCGTTAGTAAAATTGACATTATCATTCAGTTTGAAAGTTTCTAGCAACCAGATCTATGAAATTGTCAGTTATTGATTGATTTATTTGATCTGGTGAAACTTCTAATATGTTTGTGATTGCACTATCAATATGTCTCATTACTGTTTCACTCTCAAGCATATTTCCTGAAATCTGTGAAAATCCATTTTCTTTTCTTTAGCTCTTTTTTGAAATTCTGCACCACTTGGTCTTTTGGCAGCAGTATGAGACAATCACTCATTATTCACTTACTTATGTAAACATGTATTATTATTAGTGTTGCCACTTTTTCAAAATCGCTGACCCGGACGGCAGGTCAGCAGGATTGTTCGAACAGAAGTTCCTGACACATGCATAATGTCATTTTACAATGCAAAGAATAACATGCTAGATAAGTTGTGTACTATCATACCCATTGAAGTGTACTATCGTACATGGGAAAAAAAAAAACGGTCAACAGGTTGCACGCCAGACTAAACAGACAAGCATGGCAGAATTGCAGATGAGATGTAAATTTAACTAATAATTACTTACAATAATAAATTTAGGTGACCAGAAGACTTAGATGAGATACAATGGATGTCTGACACTTGAGCAAACTTTAGTAGGTGTTGCTACTTTCTATGTACGGTACAGTACATTCAAATAGTGTGTCAACACCTGCTAAAGATTGCTTGAGTTTCAGATTCCTGAGATATAATCATGTGAATTAATGAATAACCAGAAAATAAAAAGTTAGGTTAGGCTTAGTATCAATTGCAATTAATAAATGCCACAAAATATGAAATGATAAATTGAGTTACATAATTCTATTATTAAATTTATTTAATTGGTTATAAAATTTGTTATAAAATTTTTAAGATTTTAAAATTAATTTAGTATATTTTTGCAATGAAAAATTACACACAAAATTCTGTATTTTAGAGGAGTTAATTCTGGTAAGTTGTTGCAAAAACAACTTTTTTACTTCTTTTTCAATACAATATTTTTTAACAAACAGAAAAAAAGAAAATTAAGAAAAAAAATTTGCACCCTAGGCTGTAGCCTAGTCAGCTTATTTGGTAATCAGGCATTGTGAAAACCTAGTCCAAATTAGTGATGTTTATATTAAAATGCACATTGTATGGTCAAAAAAGTACATTTTATCTAAATCCAAATTTTATTGTGCACTTTAAATGATAAAATACAGTGATTTGATAAACTTTCACAATGCAAAAGTAGTAGCAGCATTCTTGTCACTGCCAACATTTTCTAATTTGAGCTTAAAAAAAGAAGCTATTTATTGTTTGAAATTCCTTTTCTACATCATATTTTGATGCAACTGTCTAAGAGTTGCATCAAAATATTATGGGCTATAAGCCAGACTTTAATAACTTGTAAGTCTAGCAAGTTTTTTAACTTGCTAGACTTACAAGTTATTAAAGTCTGGATTATAATTGACAAATTCAACATTAAAAAAAAAACACAATGCAAAATAGTAGTCTGAATTATCACAAATTAGTAATGTTATACTGTATAAAGCAAAGGAAATCAGAAAGAACATCAGTCAAATACATGAATACAGTTTAAAATAAACTATTAGAAATGTATCTAATAAAAATTAATGTTTCTCACTAATAAATGATTAATTCTTCTTTGAAAATATCGACGACTGTTATTTTGAATACTTTAAGCAATATCACAGTACATTTGTATTATATCATTTAATTGCAGTATGCAAGATATCATAAATTAAAAAGTTTAATCAATTTTGAAAGAAGCTTTAAATTTATTGTACTATAATTCTAAACAACAATTTAGATTTGATAGTCCAATCTAGATGATTCTCATCTAGATTAGGAGGATATTCACAAATATCACAGTATAAATATTAACTTATTAAACAAGATAGTAATAGGTATGGAATTTTACAAATTATTCACATTTTGTAAGTAGTACTTGGCAATATTTTCTCAAAGCAATCTGGTATCTAATACACTAAGAATGTCAGCAAGCGACCCGTTGGCAATAACTTCACATCATACATGCATTTTTAGTCTCCTCTTGAAAAAAAATGCTACTAATTTTAAACACCGTTTACACACAAAATTAGCATTATTTTATATAATATACGCATATTCTAAAATGTTTTGATTTTAGATATAACAATAACAAAATACACTGTACATTAAGACAAAAGACTTTCAAACCAGACAAGACGAACAGAACGACACAAATATAGACAGGATAGAGTTCCAATTTTTAAAATCATGCAGTGCCGCATAACACGTCAACGAAATACTTATTTTTCCTGCCATTTTCCTCTCTACAAACGCTATCCAACCCATTAAGGGCAATCGGGCGACAAAGGACGAAACCCAAGACAAACGATCCCCAAAATCCTTCAAGTTTTTCGACCCAACCGAATTCATTTCTGGATCTCCGGAGCAGCAGGTCGATGTCGCATAGAGTAATTTTGGGGGCTATATCTTTCAAACAGTTGCTCAGAGATACGGGATTCCTTTGACTTTTTTGTTCCTACGAGTATGCTCTACAGCTCTGTTATAGTCCCAAATGTATCATTCAGAGCTTAAATTGAGCCTGCTCTATGCATAAGTTTTACTTTTAGTTCATTGAAACTTAAGTTATGAACCGTAAAAAATAAAAAAAATTAATTTTCTACTACGTATACTCAATTTTGTTTACATACATCCTCCAAAGAAACTGGTTTTTTTTTCAAATAATAAATCATTTTCTTAAGACAAGTTTAAAAGGAAAATCTTCCCGTAATTTCTCAATTACTTTTAAACAAATAATCACGGTATTCGCTTTAATGATTTTTCCAACTAAATTCCTTTATTAATTTAAATTCTTTTAAAGAAAACCAATTAAAACGTACGAAACATTAAGTCAACTTGCAAATACAAAGGCGTGGCGTGTAATTATTATTTTTATACAAATTAGATAGATGAATTATATCATACTTACAGTCTAATAGATTAGATAATTCTTCGTCTTCGCAATTATTTACCTCCGACATTTTTAAACTCCTTATACAACTTCTATAACCCTAATCACGGCAAACCACAAACTACACGTACCATTCAACTTAGCACTACAATATCCCTCTGGTGGACAAAATTAGTTTAAAAAAATAAATTAGTTTGATATAATTTTTTTTAAAGTTTTAAGTATGTATTACATAAAAAAATTGTTATTATTTATAAATAAAATTTATTAATACCAGTAAGTGGTAAATATAAATAATAAGTATAAAAGAATTCGCTGAAATATTCTACGTGATGGCTTTTAACTCTTTCCGCCCTGTGGGCACTAAGAGGGCGGAAAGAGTTAAAGCCCCTTAGTCGTCCATAGCAAAGAGTTAAAGTCCATAGCAAGCCCCTTATGGGTTCGTCCAGGCCCACAATGGGGCAAATGGATGGTGAGGAACGGGGCCCGACGTATATGGACGGACCGCCCCCGAAAAATTCCTGGGGATTTTTCGACCCGTCCGGAATCGATCCAGGATCCCTCAGAGCTGTGGTTGCAACCACAGCTCTGAGGGATCCGGGCATCTTACGTGATGGCTATTAATCATTCAGTCATCGATAGCGCGTTGACAATCCATCGCTACTTTATTTCAAAAGCCTTTTAATAATTTAAAGACTCGTTCACAAATTTTATTGGTGCTGCATAGGAGTCTGATTATATTTTTGATTATAAATATTGAAATAAATTATCAAATTATACACTTTATAACATCCTTAATACTTTATGATTTTTTTTACTCGTTTTTTCAAATAATTAGAATTACTTGAAACTCCATTATTTTAATTGTTTAAGTAATAATTAAAAATAATGAACTTTCACATTGTTGAAAGAGATTTCAGTTTTAGGTCCAACTTGATATGGTTTAGTTTTATTCATATGTGACAATGCCTTTCGGGAAGTCTCGTGGGAAATTGGCCCCTATTTAGGTGCTACTAACGTATAGAAAACTCGAAAAATATCTACGTAGCTAGCCCGTTGGCAAGGTGCGAACCCACGACTAACTACCAGTGTTCAGTGGTTTTATTCACATCCAATATCTTTCACATTGTTAAATGCTCTTTTGCTACTACTTGAAAGTCCTTGTACTATCTTCAATCATTTTTTTTTTTACTTTTTGTGAATCACAGATGTTGTATTTCTATTATTCTTAACTTTAATAATTTAGTACCATAAAATATACTATAAGTTTTTATCCAGCAATACCAGCATCCAACATTAACGGTGACAAAACAATTTTATTATAATATAATGAAATTGGATGTGGGAATTGCTGGATAAAAACTCAACCCCAATAATTTAGAATTGTAGAATATAGAATAAGAATTATTATTATTAAATAATGTACTTATGTTGTTTGAAGACCATATAAATATGAGTTAAATATGAGAAGGCCTATATGCTGTATTTTTCTTTTTATGATCTGCACTTACAACATTCTGTTCCTCCTTACTTGGATGTTTAAATCGTACAATTATCACCAAGAAAGATTTTTCCTCTCTTACTTATTATTGTCTTTATTGATAGATTGTTTGCATGAAGATGTCAAAGGTCTTCTGTCATTTTCATCAATTTCTTGAAAATTTTTTACTTATAGATGGCAAGGTGCCTTTGAGTTTCCTTCCGTCTGATGTTTAAACTATCAATATTTATTTCTTGATTTATTACATGAAAGCAAATGACTGTCTCTGGGTTCTTAATTTTGTCTGTTCTTTTATTTAGTTGTTTTGAAAATAATTTCTTTAATTTATGTTTGCAAGTTTTTTTTCTTGCACTGTTCAATATTGCCAGAGAGGTCTTCATTTGTACGGAAATATTTCAACTTCATATTTGTTACATGTGTTTCTAGTGCCTTGAATTCTGTTGTATATTAAACATTTTAGTTTTAGATTTTAACTTAAGCTGTTTTCTTATAAAAGAAATGAGTCAATGTAAGAAACTGTTCTTGTCATATTCTACATAGAAATCTAGGAGGGGTAAGAACATCTTAAAATAGACACTTCTTATTTTGGTAGTAATGGTCACCAGATCTGATGACAACTCGTGTTTAAATTCATTCTGTTACTTTCATTTATTTTAACAATTTCTATATGTTCAAAAAGTTTTCTTTTAATATATATTTTTCTTTTTTAAGAATTTTCATGCTTGCAGTGTGTGGCTACTGCTGAGTTAGTGTAAATAACTATTAAATGTACTCTGTAATTTCTTATATAGTTTTACCATTATACATAATAAGGACTGAAGAGGAGTATATGGCCGAAAATGCATATCCCTTGTAAAAAATAGAAAATAAATATCCACTTTTTCCATCAAGAGGAGTGTTCCTGTGTAACAAGTTCTCAATAGTAATTTTATTTAGTTCCAAGTAACATATAACCAATTGAGAGAACAGCAAGCAATCAAGTACTACTATTATTTTTATTTCACAACAGTTCAATAAAATCTCTAAAAAAAATAATGCTACATAATAGATATTATCCATCATCCAGTGGGAAAAATATGAGTCTATATCTGATACAGATATCTGTAATTTATCACTGATAATTTCATTATAATCCTGATAGTATATTTCATTTCTAAGTCATGTTGGAAAGCCAAATAAGTCAAATTCACCCTTTACAAATAGAATTTGTAATGTATGGATGTCTTATGTTACTTTTTTACAACAAAAACATCTTTTATTTGCAACAAAATTTATCAAGCAAATTTTAATGCAGTTATGTTTATTTAATATTATTTAAATTATAATGCAATGTTTTGTTATAGCTTTAATTATAATAAAATATAAGCATTAGTCAATTGTGATTTTATAAAATAAGCATAGAACATTCCATAACAATTTTACAATAACTGAATTGGCATAAAATGAACCTATATTTACAGTAATTCGTAATAATAAATTTTATTTATTCATTTATAAATTAAAACTTTATATTTACATTAACAATAATTAATTTTGCAATTATTTATGAGATCGTCTTGAAAAATTCAGTTTTTTCTTGAAATAATTTATGCCACTCATTTACAAGATAGAAAAATGCTTCGTCTACACCTTGATGTTCTTTCTAGAAATTAAAAAATAAAATTAATTGCATTTAAATAATAACAAAGATTATTATAAATTTATAACTTAATAATTTCAACTCACCACAGAACATTCAAAATATTGCAGCGAATATTTCTTAGCAAACTCTTGCGCAGTTTTTAAAGAAATAATTCTTCTCTCTTTGGAATCAACTTTATTGCCAATTAATATTCCTATTAAAAAAAATCACCCATTAGAAGTTGAGCTGTATTATCGTCAATTATCTTTCAACTTTTTTTTTTTGAAATGAATGATCTCAACACCAGAGATGAAACTATTTATCTACTGAAGGACAAAGCTATTTGAGCTGCATTCAGTATAGCAGAATACTAAGAAATCCAATTGGATAGGAGAGTAAAGTTAGCTTTACTCCTCAAATGGAGTGCTGATTGTGTGTAAAAATGGTGGATGTCATAATAATCATGAATTTAAGTAATATTTCAGTGAAATGTTGTTTTTTGTTTTTGGTTCTTTCTACACTTGGTCACTAAGAGAGTTTTTCCAGACCTACTGTGGGTTCAGCCAGAGGTAATTTTAGGATTTGTGAGACCCTAGGCAAAATTTATTGTTAAGGCTATTAAAAGAGTAATGGAGGCAGAGAGTAGATTTAGATTTACAATAATAAACATTTTTAACATAGAAACAGACAGTAAAATACAATATAAAGTAATAAAAATGTGTACAATATTTTACAACAAACTGAAAAATTTGAAAGAGTGAGAATCTTCAAGAGAAAAAGTCGTCCAGAATTGCATTTTGAAAGAAGCAAAGGTCTGTCAAGACGTAAACAAATGATTAGCCAATTGGTGACCAGCTTATAACATAGAGACAGTCTCTCGAAGATGAGAGACGATGACTAGAATACGACCCCAATCCCACAACAATATTTCTTTCAATGGACAAGATCAAATTGAAGAAAGTCTCTTTTGACACATTGTTGATCAGCAGTAGTTCTTAATCAATTTTACTTTGAAAATAATAGTTTTGAAGATGCAACAGATATTGGTACAATTATATTTTTAATAATTACCAATTTGTTCATTTAAATACTAAAATATTCTATGAAATTTGCAAGACACCTGCAAATGTGAAACCCTAGACTGTTTTTTTAATTGTATTAGAGCTGCCTCTGGTATTAGAGCTGGATCCATAATGGGGACAACCAGGTGGTGACAAACAAGGCCAAGATGAATGTATCCAGGACAGACTCATCTATGAAAAATTCCTGGGTTGCTTGATTAGATTTGATGTCAGGTCACCAGAGCATAAGCCAACACCTTGTCCTGGCTATGAGTCAAATGAAATGTTTAAATAAAATCAATTTTATTTATTTATTTTTTTTTTTGCTGTATCTTTAAAGCATGATGAAAAAGTGGTCCAATCTAAAATCCACAGCTAGTATTGAGACTGGCAATGAGATTATCAGTATTATTTATTGAATTCTAATTCATTTAAAGCTAACCTAGAAATTTTCAATAATCTTATGCATGGTTAAATAAGTGGAAAAACTTTTATAAAAAAAATCACACAATTTCATTTTTAAAAAAGTGACTTTGCTGGAGGTTTTCTATGTCATTATTAAATGAGTTCACATTCATATGACCATCAGTGACCAAGTGGTCTTCGTACCCTGAACACTGGGAGTTCGGTCGTGGGTTTACGTTTCGCTCAGATGGGCTGACCATGTGGAGTTTTCCAGGTTTTCTCCACATCTGTAATGCTTAAATAGTGGCCAGTTTCCTTAAAAAGACCTCCTGGAAGGCAGATCGCCCAAGTGTTGAGTTGCCATAACTTAATTAACAAACTAACTAACAACCAAACAGTTCACGTTCATTCACAGAAAAATATTGCAATTAATGACTGAAAAAATGTGTTTAATTTAATTTTTATGGAAATTTTGTAGTTTTATAATGATAAAATGTCACATTAAATAAGTAGCAAAAAAATTACAGAATATCTTAACAAAATAAATTCTCAACAAAAAAAATTATGTTAAAATTTCTGAACTATTTTAAATTATGATATATATAACAGAAAAATTTGATTCACAACAAACAAAAGAAAAATACAGTAAAACCTGTCTAAAACAGGGCTTAAACTTTTTCCATTCGTGACCCCCTTTTACCTAAGAACATTTTATGCAATCCCAAATATATAAATACATAGTTACTGTACATAAGATAAATATACAAATAAAACATTAACTGATAATACATAAAAAAAATTTAATTTAAAACAGTTCTTTGTAATACTTATAATTTCACCACTTATTACCATTTATTTTGACAAAATCAAATTTGCATAGTAATGAGACAATTTGCTTGTTTATTTTTGTGTAATGCATAGGTTTCCAATGTTCTTGGACTTATCGCCCCTTTCCAAAAAAAACCCACCAACTCCCATTCTTGAAATCAATAATGTAACCCATAGTTTTCTAACTTTTTTGGGTAATAGCCCACTTTTTCAAACAGTGACTTCATGGCACCCTTCTTAGGTGAAGTATACTATATTATATATTGAAAAACAAGGACAGATTTTTAAAATTACTTTATTAAAAGATATTAACAATATTGGTGTATTGCTCAAAGTTTGATTAACAAATATATATTAGAGAGGTTGCAGCCGACATTTTCAATGTGTAAGCATGTACATTGGATGTTCAGCGCTATCTTCCTATAAGCCTAGAAGTTTGACAATGGCGTTTGGAGCATCAGTGGAATGGGATACAATTTTTAAATATATTTTAAATTTATCTAATTTAAAGTATATGCTATTTACCTCAAATTAGTGGCTTGCCCCTGTACATCATACTTTCCTTTAACAGATAGATGACCAGTATGATTCTGTTTAACACCTTTCATGGGAAAATTTTTGAANGGTGTATTGCTTAAAGTTTGATTAACAAATATATATTATTAAAAAAATTAATTTAATATTATAAGTGAGAGAGCTAAGCTTGGTGTAATGACACAAATTTTTTGATATTTGGTGCCATATTTGTCATTGGCAATGTTAAATCGGCATGTTCCACTGTTGACAATCTGTTTCTTTTCTTTGTTAGTATATTGCTGACTACGCTAAATCCTCTTTTGGCTAAATATGATCTTTGATATAGCCCATAAAGCCAGATATAATACTGAAATTTGCCTTTAAAGCCAAAATTTCAAAAAATTTTGAAATTTTGGCTTTAAAATTCAAAATTTCAAAAACTTTTCGAAACAATCTATCATTGAGAGCATTGCTTCTGATCTTGTTAACTGCTGTAATTACATACTGTAATGAGCAATGAAGGCAATCACTATGGTTTTTTGCAACTAAATGTTGTCTGTGAATTACACAATGCACAAAGACTACATTTGGTACCAACTTTTTCAAATATGAAATCAACCAATGGTTTTTATTATTGTCATTATTATTAAATTCTTATAACTCAATTAATTTAACTATTTGTATATCTAGTACCAGCTCTAGGCTTATCTGCATTCTGTGCAAGAAGTTTTGGCTGTCCCAGCTTGCTAATCAACATATAAATAGTGTAAATTTTGTCTTCATTTCCTCTTGTGCCCTGTGCTGCTGTTGCACAGTTTAACAGTAACACAGTCTATATCATACTTTCTATGACTTTCCAAAGTTTGATTTTTCAGTAACTTAAGCATATATAATTGTTTTCAAAATTTACTAAACTGGAACTTGATGACGGTTAATTAAATTATCTGAAAATATTTGGTCAGATAAAAAGGTCTTACTTTCTTTAAAACTGTTTATTTTAAATAGTAATAGTTTCCTATTTAATTAAAAAATTTCATTTGAAAACGTTGATTAATAATCTTTGTTTCATATAAGAAAGATCTAAATTTAAAATATTACCTGGAATTGCATTAGCTTTAGAAGAAGTAGCTGAGTGAAATTTCTTCAACCATTTTGAACAAGAATTGAAAGATATTTCGTTGGTTACATCAAAAACCAACACCAGTACAGATGGATTTTTCCACTATAAAGAAAATAATATTAAAAATAAACATTCACAGCCAGATACGAAACTTTTTCTTTGTTATTTATAAAAATTAATTTAATGCAAAATGATTAGAAATTATTTTCAAGAATTTAATATTAATTTATTGAAAGTAAAAAGTGTTTTTAACCAATAATATGTCATTATTTTTGCTTTTACAGAATTTTAATATGCTTTATATTTATTATGAATAATTTAAATTCTTAAAATTACTGAATTTAATATTTTTTCAGTTCAATTGCAGAATAATTTAATTTTTAATTCTTTAATAACTTATATAAAGATGAGTCTATATACAGTAGAGTCTCTGTAATCCACACATATTGGACAAGCAGGTGTTTACAGCAGATTGTCAGATTACTGGACATGTTGGACAGATAAGTGATGGGATATAGAAACTCTATTGTACACGAGTTAAATAAAATTTATATTTTCTCTGTGTTGAAACCATGTCCTTCTTTATATAACAACAATAATATAATATTCAAATTCAAATATAACAATAATAATTTAAAAAAAGATTTATTTATAATATAATAGTTTAGAACAAAAGGTTAATATGTCAATGAGATTAAAACAGATTACGTCAACACAGACGTCAAGAGTATACGCTGGAAAATGCTAGATGTCGAACCACGAAACCTTCACTTGTAATAGTAAATTAAAATCATAAATATATTTTAAACAGCAATGATATTTTAATGATTTTAACTGTAAATACATAATTTTAAACATAAAAAAAATATATATGTAGCAATGAAATTTAATTAAAGAAGATTCCAGATGTAATGGTATGTCACAACTTATGATAAAACACTTATAATGTAAGAAATTTATAATATGTTTTATTGTGTAGCTGACGGATGATGGGCCTTGCCTGAAACGCGTATCAGCCAATAGAAGATCAATAAAGATGATGTAAAATGCCTTGTGTCTATTTATGCACCTAGTAGTGAAGAAACAAACAAAAAAATTTTATTTTTATTTTTATGCTTCATTTTGCATATGTTAATCAGAATTTGATTTATTTATTTATATTAATTTGTATCAAATAGTGTAGTCTTTTGAGTCAGAATATTAATCTTATCAGTCCAATTTAAATTTTTAGTTTCAGTGATAGCATCAAATAAGAGTTGCTTTTACATTAGTTAATGTTAAAGTTATTATACAGAGTGTCCCTAAAGTCTGGACACATAGCAAATCTCATTAATTAACTACAATTTTTTTTCCTCCACAGATTAAGTATGGCTTTGTCAAAAGAAGAAAGGGGTATGATAAAGGAGGTATACTCAATGAAAATCACATCTGTAACACACTTCATTGAACACACAAAGAGTGAATGTGCTAAAATTGATGGCAATGTGGATTTATTACATTGAGTTCACATGAATTTTGCAAAGCACAGCAACCTTTGCATCGCAAATGATGGAAATCATCTTGAAGACGTTATTTAATATTCTAATTGAATAAAATGTTAATAAATTCCTTTTCTTGAAAATATGGTATTTTTGCCTATGTATCCAGACTTTAGGGATACCCTATACATTAAACTTAAAGTAAGAAATTATAATTTTACTTTAATACATGAAACATTGTATATATACATATAATGCTTCAAACTATAAAAAGAATCACTTATATCTCTGTCAGCATTACATTTTTTTAAACATTATTGACAGTGATATATGTGATTCTTTTTATATTAATATTTGGTGTGAGTAGCTGTTTAAAACATTTTTAATGCTTCAAACTACATTGCAGTGGAAATTTTACCTTGACAAAATGTTGAGACTGTAATATTCTACATTTTCCCTGACTTTTCTTTGTAATAAAATTCCATGAGACTTTCTGGTTTTCCAGGTCACTCATCACTCTTAGTGTCCCATATTAAATGCAACCTATCCATTAATATTCCAGGAAATATATATTACCAACAGAAATAAGACACTCCTAAGTGGAAATGATTTGTCCAACATGTGGACACCCTCCAAATCAATAGACTCTTTTTGGTAGCTGTTACAATGTAACCAGTGTTCTCAGTGTTGTGTAATGGAGGAAATGGTATATTCACAAAAGATATATGCTTTTATTATCAAGGTTTATTTTCATATATGATCTTTGATTGCAGCGCAAAATGATTTTTATCATAAATACTCAGAGACTAAAGTTCCTAATAAGACTTCAGTAAATAGAGTAGCAGCAAAATTCAGATAAGTTGCATTAACAACAAGGCACACAAAGGATTCAAGAGGATGTATGGATGAGTTGCATTTTATATGGAAAACACTGTATTTGTTTACAAAAGCATAAAATATTATGTATAAATTTTAAATTACAAATATATAATCAAAAGGAGAAAATTTAGCTTAAAAAATGTTTAATTAAAATTTATAAATTTAAAGTTTATAGTCTATCTTTAGTTCGTATTGACATATATTATTTTAATACTAAGGAAAGCATTACCAAATTCTGCATCATATCTAAATAAATTTCTTTGCCAGAAGAATCGTAAATGTATAGTTCCTAGAAGTAGAAAAATAATTTATAATATATGAGGATTTGAATAAAAAGTTAATGCAAAATATTTGATAGAAACTTTAATACTTACTACTAAATCATTTGTATCAGGAACATGTACAGATTTAACAGTCAATTCAATACCACAAGTCTAAATACATTAATATCAGAAAATATTATGTTTAATATAGCAACAGACAGGTATAATACATTTCTATATATTTAAATATTTTGGAATAGAATTTAAAAGTTTAAATCAATAATATGAAATATAATAATAAAAACCTGTAAGCAATTAATGATAATTATTTACTTACCATTGTGTAATTTTTCTGAAAAGTACTGCTGTCATTATTAAAAATATGAATCATTGATGTCTTTCCAACAGATGAATCACCTAATAATTAAAAACAATAATAATAATAATAATAATAAATAATGTTTATTTTCAGAATAAAACTCTTGTATGATCTTCTCTTTTTTATAAATCATCATCTGTATACAAATTTGTATATGAATTGTACAGCATATATTTACTAGAAATTCATTTGATTAGTTACATTTATTAATAAACCCATTTTGTAAAAACATAGTTAATATTAAATAATTTCTATTATTTCATACATTAGATTAGATAGAATTTTTTAATTAATTTCTTTTGATGAGAAAGACTTTATATGTCATGAACTGATGGAAACAAAATCCTTCTTGAGATGTGTTTTGCCATAAGAGGGCATGTTGTGCATGAGCAGTGGTCGAAAATGACCACAAATGCAGTGTGTGCCCATCCATTACACTAAGAAACAAGATGGCCAGCAGCAGAGCCGGCCCTACCATAGGGCGAAAGGAGCAGCTGCTCCAGGTGCTAAGTCCTAGGGGGCGCCTCAGTGGTAAAGAAAATTAAAGGATATAAATTTGGGGCAACCAAGGGCAGTGGTGTAGTGAGGGGGTGCAAGGAGGTGTATCACCTCCTTGCACCCCCTCGCTACACCACTGCCCTTGAGAGGGGCGCCCAAATGGTCTCCAAGACAAACTATATGTGTTTCTGGAGGGGGCGCCAATAAAGTGACGTGCCCCGAGCGCCAGTTATGTTCACTACGCTACTGACCAAGGGGGCACCATAATAGGATCTCGCTCCATCCTAAAACTTGCCTCGGGCCGGCACTGTCCAGCAGATTTATGTTGTAGACATGGATAAAGGATAAAGTGCAAGGTAGTTTGTCCACCATAAATAAGCCCCATGATCCATAAGTGATTGGTGGAGGTGTATAAACAAGATGTAATGTCAAAGTAAATGGTGCAATGGTGGTGTAAACAATTCTATGATTGCCATGAGGCTGTCAAAGATGAGCAGCAACCTGAATAGCTGTCAACATATGGAGAGGGTAAAGTGGACAGTAATTTGCATCAACAGATGGATGATTGTGGAAGACATTACTGCAAAATTGGGCATTAGCCATTCCTAAATACACCACATAATCTGCAATACATTAGATTATTACAAAGTGTCAGTATGATGGGTACCTTGAAAACTCAGTACCAATGACAAGATTGCCAGAGTGAGCACCAGCTTTGCAACATTTCTTGCAGTATAAACAGAAAGAAACACCAGTTTCTCTTCTAAACTGTGATAAGAAACAAAAGTTTTATCCATCATTTCACCACAAAATCAAAATTTACCTCCATGGAGCAGAAGCATCCAGGTTCCCTGGCCAAAAATAGTTCAATGTGTCTTGGTCAGCAGACAAAATTCTTCTTATAGTGTTGTAGGATGCCCTTTGGCATCCTAGCTGTTGCTAAATTTCCTGGAAAGTGGAACTATGGATCTACAAATTCAGTTGGAAAGTGGAATTACAAATTCAATTGGAAACATCTTGACCATCCACTTTCAGTCCAAACCTCAGCTTCAATGACTTCTACTAGTTCCCAGGTTTGAAGAAGGCATAGGAGACAGTGTTTTAGTAGAAATGAATAAGTGAAAGAAACCATTCAAAACTTTGTCTGTATGCAGGAGCCTGGACTTCTATAATAGTGGTTTCTTTAACCAGGTGAAGCAATATAATAAATGCATCAATATAATGGAGGCTGTGTCAAAAAATAAAATGAGAACACCTCTTCCTATCCATAAAGTACAGTACTTGGTCTTCAGATTAAAAATTATCATTAATAGATACCCAGAAAACTTATTTTTGTACTTCTATTTATATTTAAGAATTCAAATATTATTCATTAAAAAGAGAAAAAGTTAATGAAAGTGAAGCTAAAGATAAAATTAAGAAATATTAGGAAAGTATCAAGAATTCAAAGTAAACTTTCTATATCAAACATCCCAAAGTCTAATATATATACTGTATATACATAACCAAACGACACTGGCAAGACTAAAACCTGCATTAGTTCTGCAATAATTTAGAATAATTTGAGAAAGAATAAGAATTGATTTAATTACATTATTTGCTCATTTATTTCCATTATCCTAAGTTTTAGAAGTTGATTTTCTTTAAATTTCAGCAACTAGCTTAACATATCCTTGATACTAACTAACTTGCATAAACACATCACTATTCTATTAGAATTAGTCCAGAAAAATTTCAAAGTTAAATTAATTTTATACATAATAGTTTTAATTTTAAAAATTTAAACAAGTTATTAGGATGTTATTAATGTGTTTAATGGGTGATTGCAAATGTGATAAAGTATACTTTCGGCTTCAAATGAAATCTTAGATTATGTTACTGGAATGTTAATGAAGGATTTATTCTTTTTTTCTTGTAATCAGCCTACTAGTAAATCAAAATGGCAGTAAAATTTTTAGTCTTTTTTATTCCAAATATTTATGCAAGATGTTTGTTTCAATTCAACATATTCCAAAGCACGTAAACTTTGCAGATTCTCTTATTAGTTATCGGATGTCTTCCACATATCATGAAATTCACTTGAATATAATTATATAAAAATTTCTTGTAGTCATTGAGTAAGTTTATTTCTCACTGAGAGAAAAGCAATTGTCAATGATGATTGAATTTCATGTCGTTTTTTATAATTTATTTAAAATATCTATTATTAGAATGATTCAAATTCAATTTCAAATTCAAAAAATAGAAAATTCAAAAGCTATGTAAGCTTTTTAATTCTCTACTTTTTTTGAAAAACTTTAAAAGTTCAAAAAAAAAAAATTTTGTATAAAATAAATAATACAATAAAGCCAAAACTGATAATTACAAAATCTACCACTAATTTTTAATTAATCATTGGAAATTAATTTAGAATTTTAATTAAATAATTTAGAAAATTCCAGAGGAAAACATCATCCAAAACAGTGACTTAAATATACAACTTCTGCTTGAACATACAGCAACCATACCTTCTACATTATGAAATACAACTTCTGCTTGTCATAAAGATGTCTCACCAGTTCTTGTCAAATGCCGGTCTAAAAGTAATTTTTTACAAGACCTTTGAAATCATATTGATCTTTGAAATCATATTTCAAAGCTCACATTACTAACTGATATTTTAAAACTTCAAAAAATCAAAGATAAACCTACTCAAAAGAATTTGAAGATGCATGCATTACTTTCCAAAAATGCTTAAAGTATTTGTGACTCCTACAAGTTTATTAATGGTAAATTTACACTTCCTAAGCTTTCTCTATTGGTAATAGTTTATTTATAATTACACCACATTAGATTTTTACTCTAGATTTCAGTAATATTAACAGAACAGTTACAAAATCCCTTTGCATGTTAGAAGTTATCTGTATGCTACCCTCAGTTCTCTGTACAAATATGAAAAATTTTTCCCATGTTCTTCTACACACCATCTTCTGTATTGATAACTGGAAGTCATTAGAACATTTCCCAATAAATATTATTAGGTCTTCAATTGTTGTGATGCAGATTTGAAGAAATTAAATTGTCTGGACTTAAAGGAAGATATACACCATATCAGATCCATGTCTAATGCATTACCCACTACATTTGTCACTGAAATATTCTGTGTTTGGGAGACCCAGGACACAATGTATAAACTTTGAGACTAATCTATATAAAAATTGTAGTTTGTTTTAAGAAATGTATTAATTTAAAAAGATCACTCACCTAAAACAATGCATTTACATCGTAGAATGTTTGGATTATTGGATTCTTTAAAATGCTTATCCTTATCTGCATTAGAAACTTTCATTTTTTAAAAGGCTTAAACACAGATAATTCTATGTAAACAACAAAATGTCAATTCGTATACATACCTGTCACCATGGCAACTAAGTTTTACATTGGCATAACGTTTAAGATTAAATTAAAATCTGTAAATGTAAATATAGGAATTAACTTATTTTTAATACAAAATAAATTATGCCGCAATGACAGTAATTTATAACCACAGTTACAGTACCATTGCAAATATTTCCACGTGTGTGAAGTTTGCGCCCTCGTGTGGTGAAAGTTTATATCAAGTTTATTTGTTGAAACTGCGTGTCAAATAATTGATTGAAATTATATATGTAAACAAATTTAAGTTAAATATTTAAAAAGTTTAAAAAAATAATCACATACGCTTAATTTTTTTCTTACTTTATCTTAAAAACGCCACAGAAACACTAAATGTATACGGACAGTAATTTTTACCCGAAAATTGAGGATACATCCGTATAAATGAGGACTCCCTGTACAGTACACAACCATTGGAAAAGTAGTATTTTCTCAAGCTTACAAGAAAAAGATATGCAAACTGTGTGGATGTTCCGTTTCGCGTTGCGTTAGATATTCAATTAATTGTATTTTCTACGGCACATTTTGTTTTGGAATCGTCATTTTGTGGGTCCTAAGAGTGCCTTTTTTCAAACTCATCGTAGATTCGGCTTCGTAACATAACGGAGCAGCCGAGTGGTGAAGGAATAGACTGACATATCGTGGACAAACACGCGGGTAATTGAAAAATTCCTGTAGTTTTTTCGATCACTCGGATTCAATCTTCCGTCCTCTAGAGCGATAGGTCGAAGCCTTAACTGTCTCCGCCTACCTACGATATATATATACTGTATATATGAGTTTGTATGTGTTGCATATCCCTAAGTAAAAACTAAGCATGAGATGTAGAGTTTTCTGGGTTTTTAGTCCTACATTTTCAAATAAAGACATCCAGGGAAATAGTAGTCTTAATTAACAAATCTCAAAATGTAAATGAAATAATATAAGAGCCTATGAATCACGGGAAGAAGAATTTAGGTGAAAGATCATCAAAATTAACACATACATGGTAGAGGTAAAGCAAGAATGTCTCCTAAACTGGATGTTCTACAAGTAAATTTCTATCTGATTTCTAATTTCCTGTTAGTAGTATTTTTAGTAAAAAAAAAAAAAGTAATACACGAGTCACGTATGCTTAGTTTGGACTTGCTGAAAACAAAATCAAGTTGACAATCACGAAATGACAATTTGTAAAAGAAAATACGGTCACACAAAGGAAATTCATTGTCTTCAGTGGTGAAAAGAAATTTAATTTGAATGACTTTAAGTATTATTGGCACGATTTAAAGAAAGAATCTAAGATTGCGTATTGCCAGCAGATGGTAGGAGGTGGTATTATGATTTGAGTAGGATTTGTGTTCGGTGGTACAGTATAACATTTTGGTTTCCAAGAGAAACCAAAATGCTAATGATTATATTTACTCATTATCAGTTTCTATTGTCCGAAGTCCATTTGCTCGCGAACGAAGAGTGGGTCTTTATTTTCATTCATACTACTAATTTGACAAAAAAATTTTTTAAGGAATAAAAAATCAAACCTTTGAAGTTGAAAGCGAACAATCCACACTAAAATCTCATCGACAGCTTTTGGTGCATCTTTCTTAATGTAGTAGACTATATTACAATCAATATGTAGCATTTTACCAATTTGAAAATGTTTCTCAGCTAAGGGATCAAAATTAGCATTGATACTCTTCAAAAGTCAATCGCCATCTGATGATTACTTCTAATAGGGCCAAGCATTACTTCCTATTTTCATAATGCTTCTATCAAACAAAAAAATCCAGCGACGAGTTAGTAACATTCTCGGCCGGATATGAGATTATATATAAAAAATAACTTTTATATTATTAATTATAAATAAAATTGTGAGTGGCGCCATCTGTTATGAGACTTTAAAAAAAAATTATTAATTTTATGAAATGGAAAAAAGCTTACTATTATACAAAAACAAGAAAACATTAACCAGTTGTTGTAACAGCGCATTAACCATTTATTTCGCAATTACAAATAAATTATTGTTTACATAGCGAAATAATTCAACACACTCTAGTTATAAACATTCAAGTTTAATTTTTCATTTATATACAAAATAACAATAAGTAATATTTTATATACTCAATGCGTACAGTACAACAATGCATTTCAATTTAGCGTAAACAAGACAAATTCGCTCGTATTAATTGAATGTCTTCTAACATTTCGTTGTACGACGAATCTTTGTTTTCACGCAAAACAAAGTTTAAACCCGACGAAGCTTTACGGAAACTGTTTTGCGTAACTGGAACACTAAAAATAATAATTGCCAACTGATATAATTGAGGATAAATATATTTATTTTCTTCCCAAAATTCTAAAACGTTCTTTTTTCTGTTCATTCTTTCAATTCCATCGAAAGCCACTATGATATTTTCGATAACGGGTTTGAATACCCCATTCCTCGATCTGTCGTCTTTCTCTTTATTTTTCAAAAATACTTCCAATTCATCGTCGTCTTCGATGGCAATATCAGTAACGGAATTATCCTTAATTTTTTCTTCTTTGCTGCTATTAAAATAATCGCGAACGGACCAAATTTCTTTTAAGTGATATTTGGCGGTTATTTTCTGTTGGCTACTCAATAAAATTTGGAAACGTGGATCTAGATACATGGCCGCTAGCATACTTTTGTCTTCCATCAAGATCTTCTCGTGAGCATTTAATTGTTTTATCAACAAAAATGCGAAATCGTTATCGTACCTTTCTAATTTGATTTTTGTTTCGATCCACAGACCAAAGAAATCGGTAATGGTCAATTGTTCCGACTGCAACGTCATCGCTACGTTTCTGATAAGACCCAACGTCTCCAGAATGGTTTTCAAAATCTTCCACTTCTCACCGGGAAGAAAATAAAGTAAATCGCTGGCCGCTAACGCATTACACAAACTTTGACAGTATGACAGCGAATCCAACATTCTATACGTGCTGTACCAATTAGAATAACAATCTAAATTAGGTTGCTTTATATTATTCTCTTCAAAGCTGGCATTCAACGACGAAATGCGAAGTTGTCGAACCAGTTCTCTGCACTCGCTGAAGAATTCCTCCATCTCGGGATTGTTGATGGCATCCTCTACAGACGAGTGAAATTCCTGTATTACACATTTCACTCCAACTAAACGGCTTGTATAACATTCGTCGTTTAAACTGATTTGGAAATTCTCGTATTCTCTATTGTATTCGTCTTGTTCGCCTGTTAACATGCCCGCTCCGTTATCGGTTATAATTGTATATATCTGATGAGGAGAAATATAATATCTTTCTAAAATTTGGTACACTGTATTTTTCAAATGATTCGGATGTCTATCTTTCAACTCTTTTATCGAGAGGGTGTGCAGGTGTATCTTTCCTTGGTCTACAAATTGTACGTTTACTCCTAACACCGATCGGTCCGATTTAGTGGCAATATCTAACTTAAGTGATATTATCTTCTTATGAATTTTGTCGATTAAATGAGACTTTATTTTCGATGCCATGTCTGGTATCATTTGGCGTATACTATCCAAAGTAATGGAAAAATTATCGCCTATGGCTTCGATAAGAGGATTTATTATTTTTCTGAATCCCGAATATTCTAGTAATTCTAAGGAGCAACCATTTACTGTTATCAGTTCCACACAAGCATCGATAAGAGTTTTTCTTTCTAATTTTACGTACAAATAATTTGAGTTTGCAGTCGATTTTGTCGTCTCCTGTGATTTGGATTCGATTAAGTTCGGTTCGTTACGTTCGTTGAGTTTCCTTTTTTTCATCTGCTGAATTTCTTCGAATTCCTTCAAGTGATATCGCTTTAAATGCCTTTCCAAATTAGATGCGTGATCACCAGTCATAGAAAAATCACATATTTTACATTTATTTTTATTTTCTGCACGATGGAATTCGTAATATTTTCGGCAAGGATTTTCTTTGATGCGGCCCATTCTACATACAAAAACAAATTAAAAATTAATATTGATATATAACAATTATAGTAAAAACTGCATAAACCGAAGGGTATGATTCTAGGGAGGACTTTCTAAAAGAATCTGGCCCCTATTTAGGTGTCACTAATGTGAAGAAAACCCGAAAAACATATCTCTAAATAATATTTATGAGTAGTCGTTTCTTATCGTTTAATTTCTATTGTGTTTTGTTTTGTAAAGATTAAAAATTTACCACTTCATTTATTGCAGCAAACTGAACTCGTTAAGACAATTTATATCTAGGAGAATTCAAGGAAAACTAGTTTTAGATGTTAAGACTCAAATGATTGGCAGAATATAATTTACACGCAATAGACGAAACTCTGATACTTATTGAATACGTGTGACATTTTTTAATGTTTCGTTCCCTTATATAGATACAGGGATGTTCTGTACTATTAGTAACTGGTAATAAAATTTTGGATATTAATAATTTTTAGCTAAATATCATCATAGTAAATTTGTTCCTATTATACTATCTAAATAGAATAGAAAAGAAAAATTCTTCCGGAGTTGAATACGTTTGGTACAGGTTTATTCTGTCAGTTTTATGAGCTACATTTTCCTCTTATCATTGTTAAAAATGTAATAATATTTGAAAGTTGTGTTGACTTTTGTATTGGGTATATCTGTGGTTACCATATTGTGAAACCCCAAAATGAGTCTTCTCTATAAGCTCGCAACCTCAAACCCGTTCTTGAAACGTTGATAGGGAATACTTAATTAATTTATTTATTTTTTAACTACTATTTTTTTACAGGCCTGTATTATATTGTAATGAATAATATTTTTATTTCTTTACTTATACAACACAACACGCAATACAAAAATACATACACGCAACAGAAAGAAACACACAACAACACAACACAACGAAAAAAACACGCAAGGAGTTGTCCATAAATAACGTTTACATTTTTCTTGAAATTTTTACTCCTCTCTCCCCCTATTCCAATTTGTCCAAATTGCCGTAATCCCATCCCATTTTCGGACGTCTAACAAAAGTCAACCTCCCTTTAAAACTTTTATCAATTTGTGAATGATCGATGCCATAGATAGAAACGAAACATACAAGAAATTTTAAAATAAATACCAGCAATTATTTATTGCGACGTCGTCACAATGCCAAGCTGCAATTTTTAATCATATTTTAAATTAAATAAATCAGAATATAATTTAACTGTTATCTAATAATAGCTTTCTTGTTAAGTTCTATTTCCGGTCAGAGAATCAGGTCACGTTTAGAAAATTCAGTAAAAAGAAACAACTTAATAATCAACAAGTTATTTATTAAATGATAAATGATATATCTAGTTTGCTACATTTTTTTTATAATATATAAATGTATCTAGTTTAAATTATAATAATGATAAATATTTAACNAAATAACGTAACTTTCGGTTTGCATCGGACATTCGTATATAGTTAATCGGGGTCTCCTGTCCCTAAGCTTTCTATATCTGGTCTCGTTTTTCATCTATCTAGCTCCTTTCTCGAGGTTAAAGAAAGACGGACGGACGGACGACAGTGAAAATTTATAGATCTACAATTTTTTCAAATTGTAACCCAATTAAATAAAACAAACGTCCACTGAAGCTCAACCCCTCCCTTCTGGGTTGTCCGACTTTATCTGACTTGTCGTAACCCTCCTCTGTCTCTTCCAATGTGGAAATCGTTTATGGACAGCTTCCCATCAAACAAAAAAAAGGACATACAAACCTAAACGAACATACATACAACACAACATAACATATAGGCAAGCGATAAGCTTATTTAACACTTCGACGTTACCAATGGGAAAATCTTCCATTTTTACTACTCCGTAGTGAGAATAAAACGTGCAGTTACTGCGAACGATAATTTTAACCCCTACATTGAGGGTATGACCGCATAAATGAGGACGAATGACAACCCTAGGCATATCTATTGCCTAATATTATTCTAAACGTTTAAGACAAGACATTTAACTTTTATAAGGAAAATACAGACGTAATTATTTAACACTAGTATTATAAAATAATTATTATTGTAATTTATATTTTAACATTAGCCGAACGAACTTCCCCCTCCTCGGAATCGAGTAAAAAATTTCACAAAGTATAATGATAAAAGTGATCGATGTATGTAACGTTACACCGTTACACCCTCGACCATGGGACGCTTTATCTATATTTTCGTGTTGCTACAACAATGTATTCTATAATCTACTTGTAGAAAAAACCCCAAAAATTAAATAGAAATTTACGATGTACAGAAAACCTGTGTAAACCGGACTAACACGATACCGAATATTTATTCCGGTTTGGCAAGTTTCTATTTTGAACAGATTTTAACGTAATTATTTGTCTCTAAGCTTTACCCCTCCCCTGACTTCCCCCAAGATTAAATCCTGAGTGCTCCACTGCATCTACAGGGCTGTACGAAAAAAATTCCTATCTCTCCTCCCTCTCCGACGACCCTGCTCAACTATCTAAATTCACTAAGTACAGATTTTATTCTCATAACCGTTCTCATGCTAAGAGAATAAAAAAAGCATTGAAACAAATCACTAAAAGCTACAGGCTTATTTGTTCTTGTGGATAGTTCTTTATCAACATTTAAGGAATTTTAACTTACGTCAGAAGGTGCAAAGATAATTTTACTTATAATATATTAAACTAGTTACACATTCCCTACGGCGACATGTTACTTATAAATACAAATTCACTTCAAGAAAACTTTAAATTCTAAACCGGTTTTTCTATATTTTCAACGTTTTTTTTTTCTACTTTGATTTATAAAATCGAAATCGAATTGCAATGTTCTTTGCAATTTTGAACCGAGATTCGCAGTATTAAATTTAATTGAAGGATACAAGTACCGTACACTTATTAAATCTTGTAATAACACACGTAATTCGTCTCGCTAATCTGGAGGGTAAGCGTTACAGATAATACTCTAAATGCCAAATTTGAGAGGTTATTACGTAGGAATTATTTCTTCGTAACTCTTACAAATCGATCAATGCATAAATTTAACAGTATTAGCTGCAATAAAAGTAGCGATCGGATAAAGAAAGTGATCGGCTCCTATTCGCTAATAAATAGATATCAAGTTGTTAAATAGTGTCTAATATAAGCGTAACATAATTTATAAATTAAAAAAAAAAAGCAAAAACTAATGGCAAAAGTAATTATTATACAAGTTTTACGAGCTGAAAGAGTAATTAGTGAGAAACTTATAGAGGAGGAGCTAACGACGACGTAATAGATACAGATGTATTTCTTTTTATTACAGTGGAAGTAGGTGTACGTTTTTGTATTATTTATCGATAGCGACTACACACGTTTTACTTGCATCTACTTCAAAAACACTATATTGTACAGTACTATATATTCGATTTCCGCAAAGAATAATTAATTTTAAGTAAATAATAAAGGACAACGTACCTAAATAGAGAGACTTCCAACACGTCTACTCGGTACAGCGAACCGAATTTTTTTCTTTGTTCTGATTATTGTTCCGGTTTCCGCTCCGGCGGCTGCTCGAAACCAGTCTGGACCGGTTTGTAACAGCTGCGTGTTGTTATACTTGTTTCCAAGAAAATAACGTGTGGCCGACTACGAACGAAAATTAATACGCAATTGTTCCAAACCGATTTTATCCGTTCTTAAGATGAGCCTAAATATATATCTCGGTTAATTGATTTTTGGGCCACCACGTACTGTACAGTACACTTTCCTTATTTTTGCCTTGTTTATTTTGCTATAATTAAGAAGCTTAATTATGCATATTTTGCTATATTTTTAAATAATTATTTAATTATCGATTTAAAGACAAAAAAATTATTTATTTAGTTTTATATGTAATAAATAAGGCGCTTTACGTATAAACACACTGACGCGCTCGTTAAACTCCAGCAATAATTTTATTTACAGCTAGCGTTTACGGCCGTCTTCAGGCTGAAAAAAAAGAAAAGAAGAAGAAAATTCTCAACCGAATATAACTCCAAATTCAATCAATTTCCAAACTGTAGAAAGTTATATGACGTCATAACTTTTTATCCCCGTAGGGGCTGACGAAAGTGGATGCAACCAAACGGGACGGTTCCCCCCGTGTCTTTATAATTTATGGAATTATCCTTGAGAGCGACTTATAAATCTCTAATTCTTCTAATGGTCTCGAGAGTCTAATGTTGTGTATTGATCTGATGCGCTTAGCTTCATTTATATTTACTCAGAATTCGAACTAATATTCCGTTTAGAATTTTTTTCTTTTCTTTTCTCAGCCTGAAGACGGTCATAATCGTTCTCTGTGAATAAATTTCTTGGTGTTAAAGATTTAACCAGTGTTCTACGGTTTAACCAATTACAACGGTACTATCTGTTTATATAGCTGATATAAGATTATATCATAAGTGTAAGTGTGTAGTCGACTGGATTATCCTCAGATTAATTAATTTATCTGAGGATAATGCTTTTTTATAAGAGAAGGTGGGACAAGACGGGGATAGTTAAGGATTTTTAATTTTTTATAATTAACTCTCTAAACCTGTTTTAATTAAAAGCAATCTTAAACATTCCATTTTTTGTTAGTAAAAATAACATTAATTTATAGAGGTCGAAACCGGGGTTTCTCCGGCTCCGAAAAAAAATCTCCACCTCCCCTCCCTCTCGACACCTTTCCATCGTTACTGCATATCCTATCTTCCGTTGAATTAGAATAAGCTACAAGTATTCACGTTACAAACATTTGGTGCCTTCATCGTTGGAAAGATTCTGTTCAGTTGCTTTAAATGATGCATTCTTCCTTTTCTTCTCTTCTTTTCGCCTTGCTCTCCAATCTTGTCTTCTCTTAACTCTTCCTGTAATTTTAGTCATCAAACGAGAGACACGACAAAGTAACCCCGTTTTGCCTCATACTTTCCCATCTTTTCCAGTGTGAAGTCTTTCTTAAGCCTATAGGGCCTACATTTCTCTCTTCCTCTTCTCACAAAATCGCATCATTTGATAGATGCAAAACATATTTATAGCATTTTTTAACAATTTTATTGTGATAATTGACCGAAAACAACTCTCATAATGATGACTTTATAAATATAATGATTAGAAACGGGTGGAGATTGACCGACAGAAGAATCGGAATCTGTAATTCGATTAGGGATTTTGTACTTTACGGTAGTTACTTTACTCCAATGGAAATCGTGGCGCCATCTATCAGTCACTTTCGGAATCACAAATAATTTTTAAGGGCGATTTGGTGTCTGTTGATGGTAAAGCAATAACAATCAGTAATGGTAAACATATAAACGTTATATTTAGAACATAAAAGACGAGACAAAACAACCCCTTCTGGGGGTTTTCCTTCGAGTAAGCCAGAGTAGACCTCGGGTAGTAAAATTTTTATAATACGTATTGCTTCCTGTAATCGCTGTAAATATTTCTCGATCTGATATTGGATATAATACATTTTTAAATTCCTGAAATCGAATTATTTAGATATAATTAATTTTAGACGCGATATTTTGTAAAAAAAAATAACTAGAAATTAGGCCTACGTCAAGTAATAGGCCTATTATAAATACGAAATTATTTCTGGAATTTCTTAACTGTAATGCAACAACCGGTACGTCACGTGGTTGTCACGAGTGGAGACGACGTTACGTCGTCTCCACTCGTGACAACCACGTGACGTACCGGTTATAATTTAACTTATAAACTTATAAACAATATTAACTTATAAAAGAAAATTTAAACTAAAAATTCTATTATTACTTTATAATGAGTAGAAAGATAGTGAATCTGACAACCAATATTTGTATTATAACACCATAATCTGACTGCCAATAATGTCGTAACTTTATAGAAACAACTATCACAAACAACCAATAGCTGTCGTGAGTGAACAGCCTTCGTTCAGATAGATAACCAATAATATGCGTCATATGACATGTGTAACTTACTTAACAACCAATCAACCACGTTTAACTAGGTTTTGACTCGAGCATGATTTAAAGTATTATTGCATGCTTTTATTTAATTTATGTCATATTTTAACTTTTTTTTATAAGGTTAAAATAAGAATTTTATTTACTAAAATTAAAATAAGTTCGTCCCGATCACTTATTCAGAAACCAAATTAATTATTTCGATTAATTAAATGTTTAGTCCATAAAAGAACCGATATTCGACTTACAACGTTTATTCGTTTGGTTACAGCTCTACATTATACAACTATTATATAAAGAGATGACAAGAGTCCACTTTTACGTCAATTTAACGTCATTTTTAAACTTTTTCACTGTAAAACTAAAGAGATGATGTCAAATTTACGTTTCTACTGTATATTTTCTGAACGAAACAAATACTGCTATAGATAGATATTTAAAGCATTACAGTTAAGAAATTCCAGAAATAATAATTTTATATTTTATATTATAGCTAATTTCCAGTTATTTTTACAGCATATCGCGTTTAAAATTTATACCTGTATAATTCGATGACGGGAATTAAAAATGTGTTATTTAATCTGGATTTTAATATCAGGAATATATATATTGTCCTATATAAGTACAAGGAATAACAATCACCAGCTACTATTACAGAGGTGAATAACTCTATAATTAATAATAATAAATCAATAATCTTGAATATAACTCAGGGGAAAGCCAGTGTTAAAGAATCTGCTAACTGTCTTTCCAAGCTCGATTTTTCGTGTTCTTTGTTTTGAAGGTGTATTAAAAAAATATCATTTTAAAAAATATATATTACATTTACTTAATTATTACTGAGGCATGTAGTACAGTACTGTACAGTACATAGCGCTTGCGTGGAATCGAAAGTGTTACTCTGTGAAAAGTCTATAGTAAGTATACAAGTATGTATTTTCTACATCTAATAACTCGTGTTTTTTCATTTCTGAACGGTACGTTCTTAGTTCTAATAAGTGTCTTCCAGTAATCGAGTTAATAGAGTACAGTAATTGAACTCTGGTAGTTCGTGTGTCGTGGATTTTGGCATGGCCAATGGTTACTAACTTCACGTGACCAGCCCGGCCACGTGGAGTTTTCCGGGTGTTCTTTACGTTAGTAACACCTAGAGACCAGCTTTCCATAAAAGTCTTCCAGAGATGCATTTCCCTCGGCAGATCGCTCATTTGTCGCGTTGCCGTAAACAAATAAACTAAACTCACTCTAACCAGCGATTATTTGTTGTCACATCGTAACAATGCCGGGCGAGTTTAAATATTTGTCCGTTTTTTGCTAAATTTGATTGGTTGGAAGATTACCGTTTGATACTCGGCTGTGAATGGAACAGTTTCTTAGAGAAAACATCTTCGATTTTTTAAGATATCGTGTTTTTAATTGGAATCTAATTGACCAATAAAATTGTGCCATTTCGTACCGTCCGAGTATCGCTATACACGTGAAAATGGTCGCGTGTATAGCGTATAGTGTATAGCGTAAATACACGTGACAATGGTCACGTGTATTTTTTCAGCGACAGTCGCGTCGCAGCGAAAAAGGACTGATTGAAATTTTTTAATCGCTACGATTGTTTAGTCGCAAGTGTATGCAATTGTATTAAATCAAATAATGTAATATAATAGTCTATAATATAATAGAAAGATTAGAAGTACGAAATAATTTTAATGTTTGTTTTTATATTTTGCCCGAGAAACGTCGGTCTCATCTGGTAGTTATTTAATTAATTTAATAAGCCAGTATAGATAATTGTTAATTTCTTGTTACTAAATGGCATAT